AGAGAGAGAGAGAGAGAGAGAGAGAGCGTACTCGCGCATTGTAAATATCGCGTATGTTATGTATTCGCGCGAGGAAAAAGATAGTTGTGGAATAGGAAACAATGGAGAGCCTCTACGAGCGACGGTCGGGGTCTCACCACGCGGGAACGGTTGACGCACACTTTCGCGGAGGTCAAATTCCACGCGCGGCTAATGCCGGTCGCGAGCTTCGTGGTGTTTGTCAGGCCGTAAATAAAGTGCGCCGGTATCTGGAATATAAGAGCCACGTCAGATGACGGTCGCGATAGATCATCCGAGGAAATATAATACCCGAGGAAACCCGCGCGAATCACTCTCGATGATCTATGATTATCCGACAATTTTCGCGCGGAAGGCGTTTTGTAAAAGTTTCATAACTCGTTTCATTTCTCTCTGATTTCAATAACAAATTCCACGCTTGAGCTTGAAATTGATTCTCCTTGGCGAAGTGTATTAAAAAGAAGTGACGGTTAAAATATTTTGTTATCAAATTCGAAATGAAATTTAATTGCATTTAATGGTGATTTTATTTTTATCTGTATACTTTTCCCTTGATGTGTCGGAGGATAGAATTAATATGAATTGATCGGTTAAAAATATAGAGAAGGCAAAAAAGAGATTTCCATGTGTATCGTTTGTCTCTCGCTATTAACCGCCGGTAATTTCATATTGAAATTCGATATTACGATGCTACTCTTATATGAATGAAGTCCCCCACCCCCATAAGAACTGCGAAACTGTACATGACCGCCATCTCTTGCGAGGCGTGCGAAGGCTGCAAATATTAAGATCCATGCTTTTTCCTTACCTTGATGCGGTAAAAATCTCCTTCTCGAGGATTCTGGTGCATCCGATTTGTCACTCTGAAATATACGTCCTATTGTATTTTCATCGGGATTTAAAATTTTGTTAATTTTAATCTCTTATTACGACAAAATTTCAATTTCACGAAAGAAAACGAACAAAAATTTTACTTGATTCAAAAACTTCGCCTAAATGATGCTATATAATTTGTACGTTGAGTAAGGTTATGTTAGCTTAGAGGTTATACACGTTCTGACTTCTCGCATGGATTTCTACGCCTATAGTTCTAATATTTTTTGTGTTCTGTAAATTCCTACAATTTGATTCGATCGATCTCTTTTACAATTTTGTTGCCACAGGTTCATATTGAAAATCAACGCGTGACGATCCACGATACACACTTTTGTCGGCCCTTTAACGCCCTTCAGAATGGATTCGAATTTGGCAATGTTGTCGTACGTCGGTGCGGAGGATATCAATCGCATTTTGGGCGAATACAATGCTTTCAGCGGATCGAATTTCTCGCTTTTCGCGTCCAAACTCTCGTCCGACGTCTCGCTGTCTTCATCCGCCATTGTCGATTATGACAAGTTTATTCCTTTCACATTACACCCTTTACACTGAACATACATTAATTCATACTATTATCAATGATAAGACAATGTAATACACCACGTGCGTTTCGTAAAGTACAGTTGCACTTTCGGCACTTGGTACATATCGAAGAGCAGCAAAAACCACGAGACTTCAAAAAAGGGCGGGAAAATTTAAACGTTTAAAATGAAGTCAATTTCAAATTATAAAGACCTGTTCTTTTTAGCTGAATTTCTTATGGCTTTCGTGTTGAGAGAAAAAGAGAAAAGATGAACGGTGCAAGAAATGTAACTAAAAAAAGGAGATTTTATAATCTAACTTCAAGGCAGAAATCAATTTATGATTTAACAATATCTCGCGTGTTTTTATGTATCTTTTATATGTGTAAATTTAATATATAAGTCTTCTACATATAGATTTTTCGTAAAATTCTTGCGTAATGCAATTTGTAAAATTACAAAGTTATCGTTTGGGGAGGATTTAGCAGTAATGCAAATTTTGAAGAAATTTCGCACGTGATCGACGATGATCCTCGCACGTCCTCGATCGGAAACGTCTTGATCACGATTTGATAATCAATTCGCGATATTACTCGTTAGACGGGAGAAGAGGATGTTAACCTCTACCTGTGGAAACTTTCTTTCGCGGCTGCGAGTTACGTAAATGCAACGTCGTGCAACGGGTAGAAGCTGCATAGAAACGCAGCGGCGGCGGCGAGAGAGCGTGAGGTTACGCGCACAGGAAGTGAAACAGCGCTACGCGAAGCCAGAAAGAAAGTTCGCGCTCGGTGTTTTCACTTTCATGGAAATTGCCCGCGCCCCTCTTTCTCTTCGCGATGGCATTACGCGAATTAGCCACGAATCATCAACGTTGCCCGTCGCGCGTCGACGAGCAGGCTCGCAAGCCTATCGATCGACTTCCTCTTCGGAACGGAACTTTCTTTGAAGGAAGATCTCGATGAAATGTTTTCTTTGTTTTTCCTTTTTTTTTCCTATTTCCATTTGTAATAATATATTTCTTTAAATTTTGTATGAAAACTTTACGAGTAGACTTTCTTTTCTGTTTTTTTTTTTTTGTTGAAATATCTCGGTATCTTAATTTGCATTTAAATATCAAGAAAAAAAATAAGTGTACAAAATGCATAATCTTTCGAGCACTTTACTGGGGACAAAATTATAAATTGTTCTATTTCGAATAGTATTTTAATATATGATAATATGATAATGTTTTTCTAAATAAATTTAGAATAGTGAGCAAAAATTGGGCAAAATGTAGCAATTGTAGTAGCAAATGTAGAAAGAAATAAGTTCATGAACAGGTAAATTTATTATATTCATGGGTTACAAATGCAATACATCTTGGATATAAATCTCTGTTCTATATTTATATCTGAAAAAGAGAGCGAGAAAAGAGAGAAAGAGAGAGCTCTGTATTTTCTTATATTTTTCCGCATATGGTATTACGTGTATAAATTAATGCGGGTAGTACACGGGCAGTAAGAGAAAGTAACATTGTAATCGAGCTATGTTTTAGTCGAGTTCAAATTAGAATTCAAACGAAAGTGTGAACGTGGTGCGATGCACCGGAAGTCATTGTGAGATAAAGAGATCCCGTTTCGTGCTTAATTAACGGTCTCGTCGCTTATCTTAATTCATTAAAGGGGAAATTAGAAACGTTTACGTGAATTGTATTCGCATTACAGGGATATTCCTATGATATGGTGTGCTGGTATATTCATGGAGATAAATCGCAAATGAAATTACATTCACGAATGCGGATGCGCGGCAAATTATTTTAGAGTTTAGAATTAATCACGCGTATTTTCACGGTGATGTCTGTGATGTCGATGATGGTGTGTCTAATTGTGTATTCCGCTTCCAGGTGAACGACAGCGCGTGGAAAAGAGAGAACAAAACTATCCGGGTGCGGCGTAGACGGGACGCGAAAGAGGCGGAGAAATCTCGGAGGTGGTTTTAGATGTTAAAAGGCGCGGGGGTGGCTAGAGTGGCCCCGCCGCTGGGTACGGGTCCAGATGCCGGTCCCCATATCGCAAACACCCACATTAACCTCCACCCTCGTGCCCAAGGAGGAATCAAACATGCCCTTCATAGACGACGAGCTATTCTGGTACTCTGACAATGACAATGGAAAGATAGATCTGACCCAGTGCCTTCAGGTAAGTACCCAATGGTAGATTTAAAATTTACATTCGAGAATTTGAAATTCCAAGAAATATTCCATGATATTTACTCCACATGAAACTTGATAACGGAACACACGCCCTACACACTTATGACTTAAATGAGTGACCTCAAACTCGAGAAAATTCGCATTAGACTTGATTCAGAATTTGTCAATTTATGAAATGTAGAATTCAACTCGCGCAAAATGTCAGAAACAAAAAAAAATCTATACATTTAATTTAACTGCAAGTTATAAATATACGGTAGCGAAAAGAATATATATAACAACAAGATAAGAAAATCGAAGCTCTTCTTCATTATTTTTAAAATTTTTATATTTTCAGCAGAGCAACACGGGCCAATCGGTAGAGTTTTCTCCGATGGAGTTGAGTGCTCTGGCGGTACCAAATATGCCGGCGGAGGAAGGCGCTGGTATGTCCAGTGTCACAGGAGAGGAATTATTCGATCCCTTGGACTTTCTGCGGGAACTCGAAGCAGAGGCCAGCCAACCCACCTCTACCACAACCCCTTCCTCCTACAAAAGACAGAGGCACAATATTGCTGCGGCGAATCCTTTATTAGCAGGTGAGTAGTTGCGTAGTATCGTATATTATTCAATCGACGATATATATTTTTGCAATATATTAATTATTTTGTTTAACATTGTATGCCTAGAAAAATTAGCAGCTCCTTCGACGCAAGCATCTCCAACGATTCCTTCGATCTCTTACGCCTCGAGGGCAGAAATCAAGACGGAAAATATTCAACCTGAAACGAGCAAAGGTAAGTGATAATCGCGATTCTTTCCTCTTTTTTTTTTTAATGTGTGTCGATATTGCAGAAAGCTAGAACAACTTTACCGACCTGTAAGTTTCTACTTGTCCGACAGTTGAAAAACCTGGTGTGGATAATCTTGTATCGGCTAAGACGATAACCTTCTTTATTTTTAAGCGATACTTTGATCGATCAAATCGCTCTCTGCACATGCTGAGAATTTAAATCGCATACCACTGAAAGGAAAACCGGCCAAGGTCTTGCGAATCGCGAGCAGACATCCGCGTTAGCGATAATTGCGCGTAGTGACTCGTACAGTGACTCGAGAAAAAAAAAGAATGTGCGCACACACATGTGTGTGCATGCGGTGGCCCAATTCTTACAATTTACAACCATGTCGTAATGTGCCGCGTGTGCGAATGCAATTTTGTGCTCATTTCATGACTTTGTTCTGACATATCCGCAAAAATGGATCTATTTTATATATTATTATTGAATAACATAGATACATAATAAATAAGAAAAATGTCATGACAAATATTGCTTATATTTAGGTATACACAAGTGCGTGTAGATCACATTTAAAGGATAACGATTTCTTGTTAAATGAACTATAAAAAAATAATTGTTGGCAAAAGTGATACTTGGAATAATTTTGTTTAGAGAAATGCAATACTTATTTTCCAAATATCCAGTTAATTCGTGGGTATCTTTTTGAACTACTTAATATTTAAATATTATTGATTATGATTTGTTACGAATTAGATTCTATAGACTTTAGAATGCCTTAAAGGAAAAATAATTAAATTATTACTTCAATCTAACAATTCGAATATACAATTTATTGAAGATGTAAACGCACATAAATTCGAATTAAATAAATAAATCTTAAATTATATAAATCTTAGATTTTGTGGAAAGCAAATTATAGTTTTTGCTTTTTCTAACATCTTCTCGAACAGTAATAAATTGTAGCAAATTTAAACGATAAATGATAAAATTTATAGATTTTGCAATTCTCATCTCTTAAAGTTTAGAAATATAAATAGAATAATTGCTGTGCTCTATAAAATATAATAAGTATAAAATTTAAATATAAGAAATTTAATATTAAATATCTGCAATTCTTTTTTAAGAATTTTTATTACTTGTATTTAGAGTTTGATCATGCCGAGTGACCATTCAGAATTTTTGCAAGTCAATTTCGACGCGCGGGTTTTGTCGAACTTTTGACGAAGCGGAGCCTTGCAATTTCGTCCTGACCGCAGGCCGCGACGAGTAATTACGAGCCGTTAGAACACGAATTGAAATGGGTGCTCATCGTTGTTCTTTTCACATTTTTAGAAAGCGGTTGGAAAGTGAGAAAAGAAACTTTCTAATAAAACTATTAGAAATACAGTTTGAAATCTGTTTGTGCCCTAGTGCAATATCAAATCCAAATTAAATTTGTATAAAGTTAGTTAGAAGTCTACAAAAGTAGAAATCGTTGCTATTATCGTTGCTGTTCACGCCAATTGTATTTCTCTTTTCTCTGAAAGCCGAAGTTCATTTCATCACTTGGCAATTTTTTTCTTTTTCTTTTTCTTTTTTTTTTGGAAAAAAAAGAAATGAAAAAGGAATCTTTCATATTTTAATAAATGCTAAATGTTATGTCATTAAAATAAAATTATTTCAATTAAAACAATAATGAATATAAAAAGATGTATTTTATTTCTATCGTATTACCTAAAGTACTTGATGAGAAATTTTTAAATAATTTTTACAAATAAAGGAAAATATAATTGACTTTTATGTATTTTATTATATATGTATATATCATACGAAATATAATTTAAAAAACACTCTAAATTATCTCAAGTAGAAAACTCGATGCACTTCAGGGATTAACTTAAACACTTCTTTATTAACCTTTTATAACTTAAATCTTTTACGTATTTGAAAAAAATTAATATAATATGTAACTAGCAAACATTGATTTTGGAATATGAAACATTGACATTATGAATCAATTTCTTTTTTTTAAATATTTTATTATAAAAATCAGTCTTCTGATATATTGTGATTCTCCTTTAATTAGAAAATCAAATGTTTGGTCACAAGAAGATGAATAAAAAAAAAAATAATACAATATAGTACAATACTATAAATTATGATAAAATGAAATAGGACTTGAAAATATAAATATACGTGTGAAGGATATGTGTGAGTTTAAAGTTATGTGGTATAATAGGGGATTAAAGTGATTTATAATTAATTTACATATTTCACGCGAGAGAGTGAACTTAATCTAAGTTCTACTTGAAATTGTACTTTTAATCAGGACGGGAAAGCGGCGGTTAATCGGATTTAATTTATTAAGTGTCTCCCATGTTATCCGGCAGATTTCGATCGCGATACCCGATGAACTCGTTAGCGGGAGGAAAGCGATGAGCGTGCATGAGGAGCATATGTGTACTATGCTGGTTTTCTGCCGTGGCGTCTTCGGCATCACTTTCACCGAGCACGCGGTGCGTAACGCGCGGAAAAAGCGCGTTTTTCGCGCCGCCGTTACACGCTCGATCGAGCGGCCGTGAGCGCGCGTCGACGGACGCGGATTTTTCATTCGCGAGTGCGCGTGCGCTCGCGCGATTTATTAACGTGTTCTTTTCGTTCGCGTCTTCTCATTCTTTTCCCTCTCGACGGTGTTCCGTGGTAGCGGCGAAGAAATCGCCGGCGGGCGAGCGCAGCCGCATCATCGTGAAAACAAAAGTAGGGCAGAAGAAAGTAATCTCGCGTTAAACGTCGGAACGCGAATAACTCGAATATAATTCACTTTCGGCTCGTTCCGTTACGGGAGCGACCGGCAACGTGTACGTTTTCTTCGGGCGACTTTCCCGATTTATTAGACTGCGATCGTCTCGTGTTGATTGAAGGCTGATGCCTGCCAAATTTTCTTGAGTCTGCGATTCTCGACGGATTCCGCGTTTTGAATTTATTATTAAATTCTGAATCTCTCAACTCCGAGTCCTTTACAAGCTCCTTTGAATCACAGAAATCTTAACGCTACAACTTTTTGATATTTTAAAAAGCCCTGAATTTTATTCTAAAAATTTAAATAGATGTAGAAGAGATTTAAAAATAATTTTGTTAGAAAGAATTAAAGTAACTATATGGAATGTTTAAACTGATTGCTACGATATTTAATTATCACTATATTTATAAGCGCACTTATTTTAATGGCCCAACAAAAATATTTTCAGATTTAGTCCAGTTTTTAGATACTTTAATCAAAATGTTCTTTCCACGTATCATTTTTCATTTCAGCTATTATCAAATTCTCAATTCCATACTTATTTATAGTGAACTTCTAAGTTCGATATAAAGACTCAAAATCCTACCACAAGAGGAGATTCTATTTTTTTCAATTTCTATAGATACTAGGTCTTTGCGTGCCGCGTGGCGGAAGTCCCGGGATCTCCCGGATTCTATCGCCTACAAGATTCTACATCCCGGCAGGACCCCCCTGCGGATTCCGGGTTCCGCCGATCGCAGCCTTCTCGGATTCGAAGGATGCCGCGAATTCCCGGTGCCGAAAACGGCCCTCCGCGTCGCGCCCTTGCCGTCGGAAACGATCCCGAGAATGGAATTTGTCTCGATAACGCGCGCGCGACGCGCAAGTGCATCCGTTTCTCCCCCTCGGCACATTCCCCCCTTCGTTCCCCCCCTGCTTCACTGCTCGCTGTATCCAGCTGTCCTCCGCCCGTTCGCTGCACTTGTCGCTACCCTCGTTCCCTTGACCCTCCCCAAACACATAAATTCTCCCCGTTCTCCGTCCGTCGCCCGCCTGCCCTGCCCTCCCCCCCCTCCCCCCGTATCTGTCACTGCCCGTCGGGGGACCTCACGAAAATAGATCCGAGAGATCCGTGCGCTGACTTTCTCTCGCTTCCTAAGCGAGATGAACAGGTGCACCGCAAAGATATTGCGCTGATGTATCGCGGTCATTCGAGACACGGTCGCCACGCAACCGATTAATCCCCTTTGCCCCGAGAAGATCTCTCGTACGACCTTTAATTAACACGTCTAATCAATAAAATACTTATCGGTCTGCGCTGCGTGAATTCTAAAGTGTTTTTTTATTAACATAGCTGCGATATCGTGATGTTGTTTTTTTTTTTTATTAATGACAAGAATTTATATTTAACATCAAACGTACCGAGCGATCATTTCTAATCATTTTTATATTAATATCTTTTTATTAAAAATACAATTTTTTATTACGTTTTATTAATTACTCTTTATCCCGTTGAAATATTAAAATTTTTTAATTCTTTGACACCAGAAAAAAATATTAATTTAATAAATAAAAACTATTGCTTAGTGTTTTTGTGATGTTAACGACAAACGTTTCGCTTATTCTTCCCTTGCTCGACGATCCTTTGAAAAAGATGCGGAGCATTTGAAGGATTAATGACGGTCGACATTTGCCGTCTGCAAGCGTCGCTGCTCTCTCATAAATCAATCATTAGCTAAGGACTCGGCGCATTTATAGTAATCATAATATGCCTTTCCATTAATGAATGCGCTAAGAAATATGTTTTTTTCTTCCCCTCCGTCGATGTTATCGGGCATTCAGCAGGAATTGTTCGATATTATACTCTTCCCAAGTATCACGTGTTAAGTAATCGCGTGAGAAACAGACGGGGGGCGAGGATAAATTGCGAATCTGAGGGAGAGAGAGAGAGAGAGAGAGAGAGAGAGAGAGAGAGAGAGAGAGAGAGAGAGAGAGAAGTAG